GTAAACGGTAAAACTTTTAAACTAAAATTGCGTTTTTTATCTGTGGCTTTCTTTTGTGTTCTTTCCACCACTTTTGTTTAGTTTTGGGGTTTTGGGGATTCCATGGAGTTTGCTGGCACTTGTCACATACCCTCTTTTGGCTTTTACCCCTTTTACGCTTCTTTCTCGGAGCTAAATCTGGACCCCACTGTCCACCTCCATTCATTGAACCTGCAATAAACCCTCGTCATTTCATCATACAGATCTCTCCGTCTCCAATTCTCTTTCCATTTCTCTGATTGCATCATCATCTTCATCATTGTAAGTTTCCTATATCGCTTTTATGCTCAATTACTTCGATTATTCTCTTGGGTTCAAGTAGCTTTCACTTATTCTCTTCCCTTTTATCTTTAATTTGGGGGTGCTTTAGTTTCATGAGTGGGTTTAATCCAGTTTAGTATCTGGATCAATTTTTTGTTTAATTTTCGGTTTTTGATGGTGCTAAAGCAAGGCGGTGGATAACGTGTCTAGGATGTGTTCAAGTAAGAAAGGGTTTGCGCTTTATGCTCCTTGAGTTGTAAAGTACAGAAATTTACTCGAGAAAGATGGATTTCTTGGTGATTGATTAGGTTTAGGACATGGGTTTTGTGTTCCTTTAGCTGAATTTTCGGCTAGTGTAAATTTGATGCGTGTTTCAAGGACGAAAATAGGGTTTTCGTGTTTCTCTTTTCGGATTTAGATTGATCTAAGATTCTCTTCGAGATATCAATGGATGGCAATTTATCATCTGGGAATATGATTTCTGGTGCGGGAGGAAGTTTCGATTTACAAAATTCCATGCGAGTTCATCATCAACAACATAATAACCCTTTCACACTTCATCAACATCATCTTCATCAACCCCAATCCAATAGACAACAAATTCATCCTTCGATTCACGAGAATTTCCCTCTTCGTATGGGAGCGATTCAAGACTGCGACCGCCATACCCAAACCATATCTCTAGTAGATTTCTCAAAAGGGGAAAGGGGAAAGAGTTCAATTAGCGATGAAGACGAACCAAGCTTTGCAGAAGATGGCCACGATAGCAGAAACGATGATACCAGAGGCAAAAACATGTCGCCATGGCAACGAGTAAAATGGAGTGACCCCATGGTTAGGCTTCTGATAACCGCTGTTTCTTACATAGGTGAAGATGCTGCCATGGAATACGGAGGCGGATCTAGAAGAAAATACTCAAATCTACAGAAAAAAGGTAAGTGGAAATCCGTGTCAAAAGTGATGGCTGAAAGGGGTCATTTCGTTTCACCTCAACAGTGTGAAGATAAGTTCAACGATCTTAACAAAAGGTACAAAAGACTTAACGAAATTCTCGGTAGAGGCACTTCTTGTGAAGTTGTTGAAAACCCTTCTCTTCTTGATATAATGGATCATGTTTCTGATAAAGGAAAAGAAGAAGTTCGGAAAATTTTAAGCTCAAAACACTTATATTATGAAGAAATGTGTTCGTATCATAACGGAAATCGTCTCCATCTTCCTCCTGATCTGGAACTCCAGCGATCTCTTCGAATAGCTCTTAAAACCAGAGACGATCATGAAACCAATGATGGAAGAAAAGGTTCACATGAAGATGATCATGATGATGAAGATCACGATGCATACATGGATGACCATGATCATGATGAGTATGATGATGATCATCATCATCATGGGCTACAGTTGGATCCAAGAACAGGATACGGGGCCGGTGGGGTGGGTGAGGGATCTTCAAAAAGGGCAAAACAATGTGAGAATTTCAGTTCACAGGGCAAGAACTTGCAGGGTGACATGAGTCAAGGTGTAACAGAGGGTATGAAAACGAATATGTTACAGGATCAATGGATGAAACATCGATTGTTGCAATTAGAAGAACAGAAGATACATATTCAATCACAAATGCTGGAATTGGAGAAAGAACGGTTTAAGTGGCAGAGGTTTCGCCGGAAAAAAGATCGGGAATTGGAATCGATGAGGATGGAAAACGAGAGGATGAAATTGGAGAACGAACAAATGTCTTTGGAGTTAAAGAGGAAGGAGATGGGTTCAGATCTGAACTAATATGATTTGGAAATAAGTTTCGCGGGTATTTTTCCTTTTTTGAATTTTCATTTTTGGTTACTTTTTTTTTTTTTTTTTTTTTTTTTTAATTTTAGTTTTATAGGCATGAATGTGCATGATGTTTGCGGTAGAACAAGAACCTGAACGGAAACATATCTTTGACCTTTATGACGTTTGATTGTCTGTTTTTTGCTCTTTAGATGTTCATAGCAGTATTTTGTCGTTATCGTTCATGTGTTTATGGATCAAGTTTTGTAGCTTTGTGTTTATTATCCGAAGACTTGACGCGTGTTTGTGCGCAAGTAGGCGTTTTTGTTACACATAACATGTTTTATTGTGTTTATCGTGCATTGGACTGAGATTGGATGAGCTTACGTGTAACTTGTTGGTATTTGGATCTATCCGTAAGTAGTAATGCATTTCGAATTTGGTGTCTTTTGTTTCATTTGGGAAAAGTAATGGTGATAATTTCTTATTGTGGATAGCAAATCAAAAGAGAGAAATATTGCAATGTTTTGCAATGTTTTACAAACGTAGTAGATTAATTGATTGCTTGTGACAAATCTTAGTTTGTATGTGTGCCTGATGATCGATTTGTTTTGTCTAGAAGAATCGGAGAATTTTGTGTACGTCCTTCTTAAACATCAAAATATTATATTTATCCGATCTAAATTTTAAATTTCATATATACCCTACGTAAACATTCAAAATATCACGTTTAACCAAATTCATTTTATAAAACATTTTATAATAATTTTTAATCTATGTTTTTGTTAATTAACCATTATACCCTTTATTTGTTATTATTATTTAAAATACAATTATAACCTGACCAATTGAAATTATATTCTTTAAAAACAATATCATTTTTGGAAAGCACTATTGAATGTCCTTTAACATAATTCCATAATAATATTCGAAAATATCATCGACAAACCACATGATCAAAAGTTTAACTAAACCATTAGAAATTTTTAATGTTTTATTAATAACACGTATGTCTAAAGATGATATTTACTTCCTTATCCATCCCACATGCTTTGATTTGTTTACATCAAAGTTAAATCTTTTAACCTGCAAGGAAAAATTAAACCCAAAAAAATATATGTCTCTTTTACACCCTTTTACACCATTCATCAAATTGGTACATGTGCGAAGGCAATTTCTAAAGTCTCTTGCATCAAATTAAATATGGGATACTTTGGAGTTGATGGCTGAAAAACTAGCTGTTAAATAAAAAGCTAGCTGGTAGCTGAAAGATATAAAATAATATAAAAGGACATTTAAAAAATAGGTTTATATAATTAATTAAGGGGTATATTTGGAAATTTTTAAAAAAACTTCTAAAAAGCTAGTCTAAGTAGCTTTTTAAAAAGCTACTTATAAACTAGCTTATAAACTACTTTTTGGCTTGCATAAAAACTTAAAAAAAATCGAAAAATAAGTTAGCTTATCACCTAGCTATGACGTGTCAAACACAGCTTTGGTGCCCCTCTTATTAAATATAATTCCCATTCATTTTAATAAATATAGAAACAAAACCTTCAAATTAGCATCGAATTAAAGAAGGTTTTGATATTCAGATATGTAAGTAGTGCTGACGCAGCCAAAGCCATAGAACGATTTCTTGAAATAATATGTTTTTTAAGAAGACAACACAAATTAGGTTTAGGTTATAATTATATTTTAATCTAATATTACAAGAATAAGAATGATATTATAGTCAATTGATAAAAAAAAAAGATTCAAAATAATTATAGAATACTTAAAAATGTTTATAAAAATTGATTTGGGCAAATATGATCTTTTGAAAGTTACTGAGGGTAAATATGATACTTAAAATTAAGATGAACAATTATGATATTTTGATATTTAAGAATGAGATATATGAAATTTTTCGTTAGAAGAATCGAGGGGTTAGGAGAAAACTGAAAGTGTGAATGCACTTTTTATTTGAATGTAATGTATTTGAAAATTTTGAATGAGACATAAGTTTATTAGCATGAGATGAAATCTTTGACCGTAAACATTTTTTTTGAATGGTTGCCTAGTGGTTAAAAGTTAGTATCACAAAGTTAGTAGAAATCGACACCATTCGGAATAAAACCCGGAACCTCCAATGTAACATATAGACATCACGTTAGCATTGAACATGCATATCTTAGGCTCTTTCAAAAAAACATGCATATCTTAGACGATCAGGTATGGGCATTAGGTTGGACGGTGTCACAAATTGCTTACCGGCGGTAAGCTTATGTGGCACATTTACCGGCAGTAAACACCACGCCGAAACCCATTTTTCATCGCCGGTATTGTAACATCCCAAATTTAAGACCAAAAATTTCGTTTTTGATTAATTAAAACCACTTAGTAACTTTGCTCAAAACATCGAATAGTATTCTAAATAAAACAATTATTAGAGTTTTAATCCCAAAGATCATATAGTGCGGAAAAACATAGTGTGATGCGTTGTGATCGCCCCGAGCTCCTTCCTTTGAAAAAATAAGTACCTGAAACAAAAGTTGAAAGTCGTAAGCACGAAGCTTAGTGAGTTCCCAAATACCACATACCATACATATCAACAGGGCCATACATGTCGTACATACTGTGAGCCATACATATCAATCATATATCAAATAAGGTGTTATGTGCCGCACATAGTCTTGCTATTATGCCACGGGCCGCCACGTGGTCTTTATTGCCAAGCCGGGGGCCACCCCTGGGTCTTATAGACAAGTGCCAAGAGCCGACTCCTGGTCTTCCATGCAAGTATCACAAAGACAACTAGCATACATACTACTCTACTTAGCTAATGAGCATACAGTGTGCCAGGAGCCACCTCCTGGTATTTCATGCATATTGTCTAGGGCTAACCCCCAGGTCTTCCTGTCATTCATAATAGCATACTGTGTGCCAGGAGCTACCCCCTGGTCTTCCATACATAGTGCCTAGGGTTAACCCCTGGGTCTTCTTATCATACATAATAGCATGTTGTGTTCCAGGAGCTACCCCCTGGTCTTCCATACATAGTGCCTAGGGCTAACCCTCGGGTCTTCCTATCATACATAAACTAAATGGGCCGGCATTGTGGCCGTAGACCCATACACACAGTGAGGAGACTCACCTTGCACTGCTGAAGACTTGCAGATAATCCTCTGGCTGCTAACTGGCAATTCCCGAACTGCCAATCCTTCGGCTTGCCAAGCTATCAATATCAAATAACACTTAGCCTAAAACCAATAATCCTTCTTAGGGTAAAATGACCATTTTACCCCTGCTCTAATTTGGACCATATCCAAGACCCAATTCCATCTAATCTTTCTAAGTCCACTATTGGCCCACTAAAGGCCCACTAATGGCCCAATTTGCTAAATTGGGCCCAATCCCTCTAATGGGCCTTACCCTAAGCCCAAACATATTCTTGGCCCAAATTATCTTACTTCTGATGGCCCACTAAGGCCCAAAGAACTAAAATCCAATGCATGGACCAATCTGAGGCCCAATAACGCAAAACCCACTCTGACTGAGTACGCGGGGCGTACTCAACTGTATGCAGGGTGTACTGGGCATGTGACCTGTACGCTGCGCGTACCAGCTTGTACGCCCAGCGTACTCCCCTATTAAGCCCTTTCTTCTATTAAGCACTTAATGCTTCTATCCAATGGTCCAAATCATAGATCTAAGTTCCTCTTAACGTCTGAGTCCATAAAGTCACTGACTTGGTGACTTTGCATGTCCCAAACAAGCCCAAACTCCAAAAATGGTACTCCACTTCCATGAAAATGGTCTTAACTCTTGCATGAGCCCATTAAGACCACCAAGATGACAACTTTCTATCTTAGGGAGTCATTTAGCATCAAGGGTGGCAACCCTTAGTCTAGTAATCAGATTTGGACCATAAAGCTCCATCCTTGGGACCAAAAAGATCCAAAACTCCATCATAATAGATCTAAGCATTTAAGAGACAAGTTTAAGACTTTATACCTCAAGAAAGTCTGAAATGAAGCAATAACCCCAGATCTATATCTTCTCCTTTAATCCACCACCTTGCTTTGCTCTTCATTTCCTTGAAAAATGGATCCAAAACACCAAAATGCTCTCTAATGGCCTTCTAAGCTCCAAGAACACTCAATGGAGGATTAGGGTTTCGTGGTAGTTGCTTTAGGGTGAGAGGGAGGCTGATCCTTGAAGCATTATGTTCTTTATATAGTGTCAACCCCTAAAAATTAGGGTTTTGGTCCGAATGGAGTACGCCCCGCGTACCTCTCTGTATGCCCCACGTACTCAAGAACCACCCGCGCCCTTTTTAGCCTTATACGTTGGGCGTAACCCAGCCTACGCTGGGCGTTCCCAGCCGGACACGTGCATGCACCCCTTGCATGCATGGGGCTTACCTGCCAAACATTCCCATTAAGGGCCAAAAGTGACAATAACTTCAAAGTGCTATAACTTCTTCGTTCTAAGTCCGTTTCCGACGAACTTTATATCCACGAAAAGGTGGCGAAAAGCCCTACGCTCCCAACTACACACCCGAGCCCTTCAACCATCTGAATAAGACCCAAGACCCATAAAATACCGAATCGTCTGATTACGCTTCTACTCTTGGCTTCCGTGGTCACAACCGAACACTTTCAGAACCGGGTGTTACAGGTATAATACCGGCGACACCTTTCCACCGATGGTAAATTATAAATTCTAACTACTGATTGGCCAATGGAAATTTAAGGTTTTTTTTTATAATTTCAAAGGTAAAATTTTTACCACATCCCATTCATTGGCAAATTGTAGCAAAAATGTTAAAATCTTACATGACGCCTAAGTGTCACGTGTTTATCATTGGCAAAACAACCACCACACCCTTTAGTCTTATTCAAGAGGTGTAAAACTCACATGACAACTAACCAGACACATGTGAAAATTGTTCCCAAATGGCTTGGAGTACCCTCTACTATGCGCTTCTACATGTAAGAGTGGGAAGAGACAACAATCACTTTGATTGT